TTTTTGGACCATTGAATTTTCTCTTTGTCTTTGTTTTTCTAAGTGTGTTCTATACCTTAGAGATCATTGAGATTGTAGAATCAGAAAATACACGTGTTTCCTTTGTTTTTTAAAGATTACTTTTTGAGAATTGGAATTAATATAAAATAGCCTGATCATATTTAATGATCTCAATTTCATGAGTTTTCATTATATTAGAAATATGTTAGGCATTGTCTTTTCAACTTAGGTTTTGTCTTTCAAATGCTTTTATTTGCCACTTTAATTTAACATATGTGATAAGTTTGCTATTGTCTCATCTTTTCCCCTATATGTGCTCTTTTTTTAAAAAAAAATCTATATTCTTCTATACTTCAGATTGGATAACATGTGTTGATATTCTAGTTCACCTTTTCTTCTACCATTTCAAATTTTATGTCCAGTGAACTTTAGTTGAGAGATTTGAATATTTATAGAATATGCATTTTTATAGAATTTGCATTTTAAAAAATTCTTTACGTTTTTGCAATTTCCAACTTGTTCATTTAATACAAGTTTATTTTTTTATTTCTGTTAATGTAGTAATGAGAGGTTATTTAAAACCCTTCCTGCTAATATTATTTGTTTTACTCAAAGGTGGACACTATAAAGTGTGTTTTCTCATGAATATGGATGATATTTCATATTTCTTTGTTTTCTCATAAATTTGGAATGTATCTTCAACATTGTGAGTGACATTCTGTAGATTTCCTTTATTCTTTATTTTCTGTAGAGTATTTTTGTTTGTTTCAGTAGACAGTAAAATGGCTGAAGTGAAACTCTCAAATGTGCCTTGTGGTAAACAGTATTGAAAACTCTGCATAATCCTTTCAGCTTTATTTACATCATTTGGACTCTGACCCCATATGCATATTTGTATATTTCATGAGTTTTACCAGATTGGGCCAGTTTGTATCTACTTTGTATTTTTTTTTTTCAGTTTTCTCACATTTAGTTACAGACTGTGGTATTCATCCTGAATTTTGTCTACTGACTTTTCAAGCCACATGGACTGTGAAAAATTGTGTGGGGGAGTTAGCTAGAATTGGATTGTATATTTGTATTCTTAATTCCACATGCACTGAGTTGTATATTGCACTTACAATTACACTACAGAATTTGACAAATGTTATGAATTAGGCTTTATTTATTTTTATTTATATTTTTTCTCTCAAGATTAAGCTACTAAAGATTTAACAGATGCAATTATTTACTGCTTTGGCCTGGGGCTGCCATCAGGCAAAACTTCCATGTGTTAATTCCCTTCTTATTTCTTGATGCTGCTTCTGTGATTTGTGACCTATATCATGATTTGTCTTCAAAAACCTTCTTAAACATTATCCAAGGTGGCCCTAGTAAATTTTTTCTTGATTTCAAGGAAATGAATACAATTATGAAAATGTTAATTTTTTTTTTACAGAGATAAATAATGTGATTTCTGGGACTTATATTCTCCATTAGCTTACATGCCTTTATTTTTTTAAGTGGGATTGTCATTTTAAGTGTTTACCATAATAAAAAAGACAATTATCACATTTTAATTATATATTACTATCTGGATTTAAAAAAAAATAGGACATGAAAACAGAAGGTTTATCAGAAACAAAGAATAGAATCTTTGATGAAACAACAACAAACAGAGAGTAATGGTGGATCAATACATTAATATACATGGTGCACATAGATGAAAATGTCACAGAGGAATGTTGGGAGCTGTCATTTTGTAAATATGCTTCTCTTATTGGTTAATAAATAAAGCACTGTTGGCCAATAGCAAGACAAGATAGGTGGGACTGGGAGACAAGGAGGATTCTGGGAAATGTAGTAGAGGAGAGTCAAGATGTAGGGACTTGAGAGCAGAGGTCCAGACCCTCTCTCCAGTAAGATGAGACCACGTGGAAATACTTAGATTAATAGAAATGGGTTAATATTTAAGACAGAGCTAGCCAATAAGAAATGCTAGTAACAGGCCAACAGCATTTATATCTAATAAGGTGTCTCTTTGTGTTATATTGGGGGTTGATGCAGCTCTGGGAAAACTGCTCATTACACAGGAAGAAGCTTATTGTTTTGTGTAATGAGTACATGACAGTAGAATTATACGACTTAAGAGAGAGTATTTGTTTTGAAGGCATCTTCAGCTAAATAATTTATATTAAGATATCTACAAAATCAGGAGGGCAGTGCATGCCTTTAACCCCAGCAATCTGGAGGCAGAAGCTGATGGATCTCTGTGAGTTCAAGGCCAGCCTGTTCTACAGAGGGAGTTCCAGGACAGGCTCCTGTCTCAAAAAACAAAAACAAAAATTATCCCTCCACACAAACAGAAATATATATATATATATATATATATATATATATATATATATATATATATTGCTGTTATTTTCTTTGTTCAGTTAACTTCAGTGCATTAAGTATAAGTAGTGTCCTACTAAAATTCATATCTGTTCATAACCCCAGGTTGTAACCATATTTAGATGATAAGTTGTTGGTGATAAAGTCATCTTGGGTTTAGTGTGACTGTAAATTTGCACACAAAGGGATACAAGTGGAGAATTGAAGGCATAGGCAATGATTGGACTGATCCAACAGAAGCTGGAAGAGGCAAGATATAGTTCCCCACTAGAGCTTGTAGAGGGGATGTGGTTCTGCTAACATCTCAATTCGGTTTCTGGCCTTTAGAATAAAGGCAAAATAAGTTGCTGTTGGTATATACTATTGAAAGGATGGCCATTTGTTATGGAAGTTCCAGAAAATTGACACTCTATCCTCATGAAAGTTACATGCCTTTTTTTATTGAGTTGCCAATGCACTGAGTCAGGTGGACATTTTTATAAACAAATCTATGCATAATAAAACAGAAAGGTGATTGCATAGGTATCTATCCATAAACACATTTGCTTTTTGCATAGCTTGTATGTTCTTTTGGTATGTAAACATGGTAAACCTGGAGTCACCAGTCTAGATGTTGGTTCAGAGTCTATCATTGATAAACCATAAGCTTGTGTGTGATTTATTTTTCCTTCAGCCATGTTTGTACAAATGTTGCATATCTTTATGTGTTCTGTCAGTTCCATAACTCTAAGATTATGTGTCTCCCCCTCCCTCTGCAGATATGTAGTTTGACAGAAATGTATAGTTGTACTATGTGCACTTTGGTGGATAAGAGAGAGTATTGGAAATGAATGAAAAGATAATATCACTATAGTTTAAATAGAAATGGAAGACTGTGAAAATTTTAAATGCCTACTCATGTTTCAGTTACTGTTTGTATGTTGTGAGGACTAATTGATTTCCAGTCAAATGTCCTTTAAGTTTCTCTGACTGAATAAACCAGAAATTACCACATGAAATTTTATTTTTAGAAGGTTTAAGGGAGCTGGAGAGATGGTTCAGTGATTAAGCACTTGTTGCTCTTGCAGAGAACTGAGGATTGATTCCCAGGACACACTTGGCAGCACACAAACTTTTGTAACTCTAGTTGTAGGGGATTTGCCACCCTATTCTGGCTTCCCTGGGCACCAGAGAAACAGGAGGGACACAGCCATACATGCAGACAAAATAACCATATACATAAAATTTAAAAAATGGTTTTAGGCTAATCATTCTAAATAAGTAGAGAGTGAATTTTTTGATAGCAGTAATTCTTTACATGCATGTCCATATTCATGTTACTTCTGAAACACACAAAATAGTGGAATGGTAAGGCACTGAAGACTTACTTTTGGAGAGCCTTTAAAATTTGGTAGTTTTTCATTCATTGTTTAAGGATCAACTTCCCTTGCATGTAGGAGTTTCCTGTCTTTAGGTCCTAGATTGCTAGGTCTAGAAGGTTTTTTTTTTTTTTTGACACTATACTCATTGATGGTTCTGAAGGCTAGATTGAAGAAATGATTCCCCCAAGGCAACAGTAATTTTCTGAGGCTTCCCTCAAAGTTCCTTTGTTTAATTTTTCAGTCTCCACAGCTGGTTTGTGTTGTTCAGACTGCTCTTCTTCCTTTTGCTTTATATTTTGAATCCTCAATTTTCTTCTCTTGGCCTTGTATATTGTCTTCAGTACTATGGACCTGCGTTTGCCCTGTTTTATCTTGAGGCAAGCTTTAGTTGACAGTTTTGAATTGGGTCCACATTTCTACTTAGTTGAGGTGAGGTGGAAGTTAGGTCATTAGGGGGTCAGTATGGCTGAACTCTTTCTTAGTGGAGTGTGAATGACAACTTTTTTGTTTTGTTTGGAGGTAATTATTATCCACGGAGATGGAATCTGAACAGACAAGATTGTCAAACATTTATTTGGAGCCCTCGTTAGAAGGCACTCCCATAAGGATGGAAGGGAGAGAAGAGAGAAAAGGAGGAAGCTCTTGAAGAGGAAAGTAAGCATCTCACAACCTTTTGATAATCTCTACTTCCTTTATCTTCTGTTTGCTCTTAGCCTTTTGCTCTTTCTCTCCCCATTTGCTTACCCCTCTCCCCCTCCCTTCTCTCTGAGCTTCCCTTGATTTCTCTGCTGGAAACCTCAAAGAATGAAATACTACTTTAGTCTTTCGTAAAACAACCACAGATCTAAAGCCTTTGCAGCTCTGTATTCAGAACCCCAGTTTAGCTGTATGCTCAGCACTAGGCAGTGGTAAAGCCAGCAAAGGGGGTGGGGAGAAGGGGAGGAATGTTGGGAGGGAAGAGGAGAGGGAGGGAAAGAAAGAGGGAGGAAGAAAGGAGAGAGGTAGAGGGAAAGGGAGGGACGAGGGACGGAGGGACTGGGAAAGAGGGAGACGGAAGGACAGAGAGAGAGAGAGAGAGAGAGAGAGAGAGAGAGAGAGAGAGAGAGAGAGAGAGAGAGAGAGGGAGGGAGGGAGGGGGAGGGAGGGAGGGAGGGCGGGAGAGAAGAGAGGAAGAGCGTGAGCGCGCGCTAGCTAGCTGGCAAAGCAGAGACAGACTGAGATAGGGATTAGGACAGAGACCTAGAGAAAGAGAACAAGCCTCATTCTATCAGGGCTTAGCCTCCAACTTGTTTCAATTCATTCATCCTTTTCTCCTCTGCTTCGGGGAAGTGACTGTGGCACTCGGTAAGAGACAGAGATGTTCCCTTCTTCCCCCTCCCCCAAGCTCAGGTCTCCTTTCCAGATAGCATCTCTCCCCCTTTAGGAGAGTCTCCTTGGGTTGGTCGGGAGGCGAGACATGCTATGCAGCTGCGATGCTATCGTGGGTTCCCCAGTGGGACTGGTGGAAGCCCAGAGGCGGCATTTGGGCTGGGAGGCGCTGGGGTAAAACCTGGTTTGAGGAAGGGGGGTTGCGATGTGGTCGAGTATGCACGATTTGCTTCATTGTCAGTGAATTGTTGTGTTCCTCTTTGGAAGGAGGTCAGCATTGACCTTGCAAATTGCTTGGGGGCCCGACAGCTGCTGCAGAAAGCCACAGAGTGGCCCCTAGCCAGAGCAGACAGCACTGTCATGACCCCCCAGACAGCTCTAGGCACCAAGGATGGGGTAATGGCTGGAGCTCTCTCCTTTAACTCTTTCTCTGCAGCTGTGTTTGGCTGCTGGAAATCAGAAGGAAGGAGACTGAGCAGCCCCTTCCCTTCACCCTATTGCAGTTTCCAGATGCAAGTGAGTAGAAAGTTGTAAATAACTGTTTCCTTTCAAGCAGGTGGAGCCCTTCCCCCTTCCTTTTAGAGGTTCACTGTGGGGTTGGGCCCAGAGTTCTTCTACAAACTTGGGAATCTTTTCTTGCTTCAGTGAGGGAAGCCCTACTGGAACCCACTCCTAATCCCAGGCGGCTGTGTGGACAGCCTAAACCATGATTCAGATTTCTCAGACCCCCCCCACTGGGGGCATCTTCATAGGTCTAGAAGTGTCCTTGGGAGGAGGACAGAAACACCTGATGGTTTGAAGAGCTTTCTTCCCAGTAGGCTGCCCAGCTTCCTGAGGCAGGGGGAGGGGCTGCTGGCAAGCAGAGGAGAGTGTGAAGAGCTAGGATTTCCATTGTGAATGGTTTGGATTATTGAGGGTTCCTCAGGTTCGGTTTCTCTGAATATATCTGAAACTATTGTATCCCTCCTGAACTTGTAATGGACCAGGTCTGGTTGCGTGAAGAGGCTTCTCTCTGTAGATAGTGACACTGTCATGTCCCTGGTAATAATTGCAGAACAAAATTGTACCAATTACTAACATTTTAAGTGTTTAATGTTTCTGATCTGGGCTGAGGGTTTAATGTGTATTACCTCTTTGAATTTTTTTATGTCAAACCTGTGAAACTGCTGGTTGCTGTTATCTTTGGTTGACTGATAAGGAAACTGAGGTACAACAAGCTTAAGTAGCTTGTTCAATGACAGAGAACAGCCATTTACAGTGGGGAATGAAAATACAGCCCGTGGATCCCCAGGCTTTCTCTGTTGGCCAAGTATAGGAGCAGTTGGCTTTGGGGAGCAACTAGTGACCTTGTGTAGTGCAGTAAGAACTGCGAGAGGTGTGGGACCTAGACTTCCTTAAAGGCCCTAGAAGGCTGCTTTTGACCAATCTACTTTCTGTTTTAGAAAGGATGCCTATAAAAACTTTACTTTCCTATGGTCATAGCTGCTCAGACTGTATCTTTTAGATATGAATCCTGCTATTTCTGAGAGCTTGGCCAAACATTTGTGAATTGTAGAACTTTCCAGCTAGAAGGCTCTTAAAAGCCATTAAGCTCTGATTGAGTTTTTCCTCAGCACCCCAATTGTTGACTGCTGCCTATTTAAATTCCTTGCAATGACAGAGAGCTCACTAGGCAGTTCTTTGTAGTTTTGAGCAACTATGTCAGAAATTTTCTAAAAATTATCTATGCTTTCTGTTCATTGGTTCTTTGGAAGTATCTGGAAGAAACTTGTTATTTCTTAATAATTTTTCTTCAGCTAATTGAAGATGGTGATCATACCTTCTCCTCAATTCTTGGGTCTGATAAGACTACAAATTAAAGGAGCAGGGTTGACTTTTGGAGAGTAGACTTTTTATTCATGTTTGTCACCTTCAAACTCACATCTCACAACTTTCTCAAGCAGCTCTGATAGTAAAGGTTCTGGTCCTTGGAAGAACTGGCTATCTTTGTCATCTGGACTGCTGCAAACAAAGAAGTTCTCTTTTGTATTTCTAAAGACTAAAGACCCTTTGATACTAGTCATTCTAAAACTACAGAAAATCGACATAATAGCTAGACAATAGGTATGGAGCATAGGGAATTCCAGAGTCAAAAATTAAGAAGAAATATTATTAAAGAGATATTGGAAATGGGGGTGACTTTAAGACTCATACATGATATAGAAGCTAGAAGAAAAACTTATAGAATGTCAGATATCACTGAGGGGATTCAGTACAACCTGAAAGGAAAGGAATTAACCCTGCTAGAACAAAGCACATGTAGCAAACCTGAATTCTACTCCTGGCTCTGGTTATTTGTCAGTTCCCTTAGACACATGACTTCCCCTCCAAGAGTCTTAGATTTTCCATTTACAAAATGATTTGGTGTATTTAGCTCCCAGAGCATTTCACATTTGAAAGTCTTGGTGTGAAGTTTATAAACTCTCAGGGGTGTGAAGGTCTTAAGAACCAACCCAGAGTCAGTGCTTCTCAGACCTTAATGAACAACAATGCCTACTGGTATGGTTTTAAAATACTAATTCTGATCTGGGTTTTTAGGGTGGTGCCAGAACATTTCAATGCAACTTTCTAGTGTAGCGGTTGTAAAACTATCTTCATCAATTCAGTTGTTTATAACTTGTTTATTTCTCACTATCAATGCATTGGGTTATAGTCTGCCATCGCGCAGAAGCTAATAAAGGTGAACAAAACATACATATTCTCTGCTTGTTTGAGGTTTATCATTGATGGGGAAGAGGCTGGTGCTCTTGTAACCACACAACTATGCCATTTTAGATAATGATGCATAAGTATGGGGGATGAGTTATGTGAATATATAATAAAGAACTTGGGGGTTTAAGCAAAGCTTGAAGGTATAGCAAGCTTATCATTTCCATAAGGGGGAGGGATTGAAGCTACCTAGAGATCCATAGGGATCAGGATGGTGGTGGAGGAGTAGTTTTGTTGATGGACAGAGAAGGGGGTAAGGAGGGAGGGAAAGAGGAACATATACATTGGGACTGAGATGAGAGATATGTAGTCTTTTGGAGGGATTTTAATCTTTGGTCAGGAAGCATGTTACCTAATAAGAGGGTTTTAAGTAGGGCTATTGACATAGTCTAAGCTGGATCCATTTGATATAAAGTTATTAAATGCCTACAATAGTCCAAAGAAAATGTGGAAGACACAGAATAGATTAGACTTAGTCTCTGTTCTCTGAGATGACAGAGTCAAGTAGGAAGGAGAAGAAATATGCAAGCAATGCCAGTATTAGTAATGTAAGATCTAAACACATGAAAGAGAGACAAAGGACTTAAAGGGGAGCAAAGGGAACTCCTGGAAGTGGATTTTGAACTGTGAATTAAAAGTTAGATAGATTTTAAGCAATGGTGCTTGGGAATAGACAGTTATACATGATGAAATAACTTATGTATGAGGAATGTTTGGAAAATAGGTGGTAAACTTGACTACAAACCATAGTGAAGGTTAGCTTGGAAAAAAGATTTATGTACAAAAGAGATGAGGTGGCAGTACTTGTGAGCAATCAATCGGACCAGGATAGGCTAAATGGCTTGATCTACCTGAACTCATGCAGATAGTACTGAATTCCAAGAGCTGCTGAATACATTTGAAATGTGGGCTTGGAGCTCAGCAAAGAAGCCACGTGGAGACATCAGTATGAGAGTCAGTGTCTTTTGATTTTTGAAATAGGAAAAGAGATTCAACTTTTTTTTTTTTGGTGAATGTTTATCTTTAGGTTACAAGGGAAGGAGATAAACCCATGTGAAGGCTAGAAAAGGGAGAAGGGAGAAAGTTGAAAGAGAGGTTTAGCTTCAGCCACTCACTGATTAGATTGAATGTATATCCTTTTCCCTCAGTGGAGAGTACAGTTTTGAACAAAATAGGAATGTTGTTGCCACCTTAGTTTAGATGGGGAGCAAGGACTTATTTTTACAAACTATTGAATGACATGGCCGTAAATTACAGTTTTTGTGTGGAGGAGAATGTACTACTCTAATAGGGAAGATGTGATCACCATTATTATATTTTGCAGAAGAGTTGAGTACTGACAAATGATACTCAATTTTGTGCAAACAGTCCTTACTGACAAATGATATTCAATTTTGTGCAAACAGTCCTTAGTACTCTGAAGCTCACATGCTTGCTAACATTTAAGTTGGATGATGCACAACCATTTTGCAGATATCTGGCAGGTATATACTGCAGTAGTGGGGGAAAAAAAGGAAAGGTGCCTTTAGGCTTCTGTCCACAGGAGCATCCCCTTACTTTAAAATCAGATGATATGTATTACATGAACTCACACTTCCATCATGCCAGTGCTCTCCTTAGATCCCTGGCTTTGTATAATCAGCAATTTGTAGAAAAACATGAATGACAGAGAAAACATTTTTGTCAAGAATCATATATTTAAAAAAAATCTCTCCCATCATGGATTTCTGATAGCATAGTTTGTCATTTATTACTGAGCTGGATACTGACTTAGTTTCTGACGCCAACTTACTTGTCATGTGTGAGCTCTAGTTTTGAAAACTATATGATTGGGGGGGGGAGGTTGGCTTATTTATAACATCTTCCTTAGCTATAAGGTTCTGCAGTAACTGTTCTGTTCTCTAGAATCCTGTGTGCTAACCATGTTGTACACATAGTTTGATTTAAGCCACTCAGCGAAGCAACACTGCCCATTTTGATAAAGTATTCTGAAGCTTTGGAAGAGGCCATGGAGAGGTCTCTTTGTTTTTATATTCCTCAAATGGATGAAATTGTGACTGTCCTGAGAGTTGAAGAAGGAACTTACTCCTAAGATCTGGAGTAAAGCTAGATTTCAGGTGCTATTTTCATTATGGGCATTTTGAAAGCAGTGAAAGTAACTGTAAAATGGAACAGGACACTGGGAAATAGTAGTGTGGTTGTTATCTTGTATGCTCAAATGGAATGGCCCAGGTGTTTTCTTCCTAGGGGGAATGCTGGTTGGTAATAGGAAAACATTTTTTTACTTGTACTTGAAACATGATTTTAAAGGTATTGATGTCTGTACACAGTATGTCTCCTCACTATCCACACAAAGAAGAATAAAAATCTCTAGGCTGTGTATTTAGAGTGGCGATTTTCACTTTGAAAATGCTTTCTTGAAAGGAAAGGGTATTATATAGATTCTCTTGAAGGGAAAGGAGGTGCATGCAGACAGAATTATGTAAGTGGTTATAACATAAAATAACTTTTCAAAATAGTACAAGACGGAGCTCAGAAATGGCATGATTCTTAGTAATCATGTATAGCACTCTTATCAGTGAGTGAATATGGACACGTTTTCAGTGTGAATGGTCCCAGGAAAGGCTATTTATTACTATCTGATGATTTAATCACTACCTGATGGTATGCAGCTGTTATTGTTAGCAAGTTAGTTTTATTTTGAAATGAAACATGTTTTCTAAATCTAACCTATTGGCCTTGCTCCATGGCAATGCGAATTTCTATTT